CGGCTATTTGCAAAGCAACAGGACTCTCGTTGTTACCACTCAGATCCTGCACTCCCGCGCATCAAAAGTTAGCACATGCGCGTACATTGTCCACAAGTCATTTGGATGGCAGACCAAATGACTTGTTGGTTCCTGGAAAAGTACCTCAATGGATGCCTCCCATAGCAGCAGGATCGATCCGAGGTGGGACGCCAATTAACATTCCGTCTGGTGCTTATAGAAGACAATCAGAAGAGTGCCCCATCAAAGATCAAATCTGTTTTCTTGAAGCTGGCGACAAAATATCGCGCAAAGAACATCTAAATTCGGCCCAACGCTTTCGTCAAATGGTTCTGCACTCTAGAGAGTCAATGACTGACAGTAAAGTGCCACTATCCGTCACAAATGGCGTTCATGCTTCCGCTGCATGTGAGAGAAAACCTCTGGCTTCTCAGGATGTTACGTGCTGAATTGGCACACAATCGAGATCCCTGTAAAAGGAACAAAGAACTAATGGTATCCTCCTACTTTCTCTAGGAATGGTGGAAGTATTACAATGCAATAAAAATGATGAAAAACAAGGAAAAACATTCTAATGTCAATTAAAATAACAATCTTAAATTAGCAAATTTCACTTCGGAATTCCCATATCATAGAAAATCTTTTTCCTTTATATGTAAGGCCTTTGTAAATAATAGCTCCCTCAGCTTATTTGCCTAAAATAAGAGTATTTTGTAGTTACCTACTTGAGGGTAAAACCTGTCATCTTTGTTGAAACATCTTTATTTCCAGAGATAAAATTATAACTTCGTTATCTTTCATGAGTTTATACTTTCTGGACTTTCAACAACAACAACAAACTTTATCAATGCCTTCTTCTCAAGAGTAGGTTTGGGTGAAGAATATTGTCTTTTTCCAACGCCCCATCTTCTGAAAATGAAAAATGGACTAGACCTGCCTATTCACCTTATTGACGGCCGGCTGCAAAGAGTCTTCCTTCCGTGAAATCTTTATCAAAATTAAGTATTTGGTATTACCGAACTGTAAATTTGTCTGATCTTTTTTTCACAGTTTGACCATATTGGCAGAAAGACCTAGAGGAACGCACCTTGTCCGGAGTCCATTGTATGCATGATAAGTTCCAGAGTCGAACCGTGCACTTGGTACATTCCCAGACGTTCCGCCGGTATCGTCAGTGAGCCTTGCCATTCTTACCAACACACTACAACTCGTCAACGTAGCAAGTATAGTTGATCCTTTGACCATTTGTCTGCTAGACAGTTGTGGTATCTATACTTCTGTCCTGGGATATTCACCTATCCTATATCTTCGTATTACTTCTTCACTATCACAATTTCTTACTTGCTTATTTAAATGTGGTATGCTCTGGCCTGTTGCTCGGATTTATTGAGACCTATTGACGCTACCTGCTGGTTCTTCCATCCCACTCACTGTGCCAGGAGTAATGATACAGGATCCGCAAAATCCTTCCCTTAACTGCCTTGTTCAATGATTTTACTCCAATTTACTTTGCTCACATTTGCCACATTTGATGCGATAAACTCCCGGGCAATCCATTTTGTCAACCTTCTCGTTTAGCATCGGAATTCTGATGAGGGCTGTTGTTTTTTACTTTGTTATCACCTTGATATTCTATTGTCTCAATAATGGTCGTAATTTTTGGCTCGGTTCACAGAGGGGCAGGTATAGCCACTTTTGGTCATCCTCTCGATTCCTGATTTTATTTTCATAATATCCAAATTGAAATCTACCCTTATATTTCTTTATAAAATCTCTAGGAACCATTAGTAAGGAAAATCCGAGTAAGTTTGTTCAACACTTCGTTCCAGAACGCCACGTCGTTAGTCTTAAGCTTCTGATGATCGAACTCCTCAGTATTCCGAATATTCAGTCTATAATTGTGATGATACTGAAAACTGAATAGGATTTTCCTTAATAATTGGTACCTCTGAGAATAATTAGAGATAAATATATTGGAAATAAGGAGTAGATTTCAATTAGGATATTATGAAAACAAGATCTTTATTCGAGAGGACGACCAAAAGTGGATATGCCTGTCCTCCTGTGAACCGAGCCAAAATTGCGACTGTTACTAAGAAAATGAAATAGAAAGGTGAAAATACAACACTCTTTAACAGCCTGGGGACCAACACGACGAGGCCGACAATTTGGATTGCTCGAGAGTTTATTGCATCAAATGCGGCAACTGTGAGCAGAAGTATATTGGTAAAACCTGAAAAAAAATCAGTATACCAATCAAGGAACACCAAAGATTCTGCAGGAGCATGAATACGGAAGGAAAAAAAAAGCAAAACATAGAGCTAAAGGGACACGAAATCGAGTGGAAATCTACAGAAAGGCTAGCTAAATATGGTGCAAATAAAAAACGAAAAGCTATCGATATCCTATTTTCCTTATATAAGTAGAGTTTCGAGAAATTAAAGAAATAGTGTGAATAAATCTCATATAACTGATTTACTAATATTCTCGAAACTCTACTTATATACAAAAATAAGTAATGTAGTCGATTATTATGGAAAAATAAGTAATGTAGTCGATTATTATGGAAAAATACGTTTGCTTCATCGACAATCCCATCAATGAATGTGATATGGGATAAGACCTGGCTTCCCTTAAAATTCACACCTGCTTTGTGACCCAAGGGCACTCGTGGCAATGTGGCCAAGTGGTTAACGTGTCAAGCTCATACGCTACACTTATCAGGTGTTGATAAGATCTATGCGAGTTCGAAACTGAAGTCCACCCTGGAAGAGAGTAACTTTTGGGAAAAAAAGGTTATGTAATGGAAGCATC